GGTAGGGTAGGGCACCGGGGCCTGCTGCGATGCACATACCATCTGAGGGGCCCACGCTCTGGAGGGCACAGGAAGGGCAGGAAGAGGGTGGAGCCGCCTGGAACAATGGCGCCCAGCCACGGGTTGCAGCTCACCTTCGGGGCAGAGCACAGGCCAGTCAGCGGCCACGCAGCCGAGGCATGACTATTTATAGACAGAGGCGCTCTCTGTTCTGGGGGCAGTGGCCACTAAGGAGCCACTCACTTCAGCTTGGGCGCCCCGGGCTCTTGCCCAAAGCTGTGCTCTGGGCCCTTTGCCCTCTCCCCCGGGCTCCGCTGGGCCCACCCTCGCCCCCCTCAGGGGCACCAGGACCCCGGCATCTGGCAGAGTCCCAGCGGCCCGGTCCCCAGCGCACCAGAAGAGGGTCCCCAACACGCGAGGAAGAACTGCGATCACGGGCCCTGAGCCCGGCTCGAGACAGGCCTGGGGTGCTGGAGGGCGACCCCAGCGTCCTGTCAGTAAGGCCGACGCACAGGGGGCCTGCTGCTAAACACATTTCTCCAGACGAGAATCTCACAGAAGAGAGCTGCGTGCCAGCCCCCTAGTCACCTGGCACAGGGCAACATGTGGCGTGTGCACACATCCATGCGCGCCCCCACGTGCAAGCACACGTGTGTGCCTGTGCATGGAGAGGGAGGGGCCGCTGTGAACCGGAGCCGTGGCAGCAGGGAGTGACCTCAAGTCCGTGGACTACCGGGAGCCCTCGACTCGATGGGGAGCCACAGCCCCGGGCTCCAGGGACAGGAGGGGCTTCCCTGAGCCTGCTCTAGTCCCCGCCCTACACCTGCCCCAGGTGGGCTGGACTCGGGTCTGAGAGCAGGGGCCAGGGGTGGGAGCGGAGGGAATGTAAGGACAGCAGCCATTGCCCGAGGGCAGAGGGGAGGTCAGCAGAGCACCGTGCTCTGGGGAACAGAGGAAGGGAGCCGCCAGCTGCCCCCCCCCGGCTGGCTCCACAGGAAGCAGAATGGGAAGCTGACACCCCCCGCGGGCAGGAGCTCGACCGAGGACACCGGTGTCATCACGTGTGCACAGGGCTGGCCTGTCCTCGGGTCTCCCTATCAGTTCTGTCACGAGACTCCTTCCGCGAGCTCCGCAGAGGCCGGCAGAGGAACCGGCCGTGACTCAGCACTGCCGAGGCGCGCACCCGTCGGGGCCACGGAGGAACACCCAGCCACCCCAGCACTGGGCTGTGAGCGTTAACACCGCGCGGGACTTGCTCACACCCACCAGCTGCCACGCTGGCTACTTCAGTAAGGACGTCACGTTTGCTACTTAGGGTCTTTGAGGCATGCTGTTGCAACCCACTCCCCCAAGCCACTGTGGCTGGTGCAGGGCAGGCTCGGGCAGATGTTCTGAGGACCCCCCTGGAGCATAGGCCTCTCGGACCAAACAACCACTGAGCCCGGGCCTGAGAGAAGGTCAGCGCAGGGGTGCTGACCCCCGGTGCTCCAGGCGAGCAGGCGGACTCCACTTTTCTTCTAATTTACGTTTCCCACAAGTGACTCTGCTAGAAGACGGCCAGTGCTGAGTACAGTGTTTCTTGTTACTCGTGCAGCTACTTGCCACCGTCCCTTTCTGAATGTAACTGGAGTCATTTCACTTCAGCATAGCATCTGGAGACCAAACAAGATGAGGCATGAAGCACAGAGGTTTAAGGAAAGAGGCAGTGCTCGCACGCGGGGCTGACCACATGCGAATGTGCGCGCAGGCTCCGGACCCTCGGGTGCCGCAAGACACCAGCTGCCGCGGGCCAGCAGCTACCCAAGCACCAGAGCGGGCAGGCGGCAGCCGCCTCTGTGCAGTCAGGCCCCCGGTCAGACGTGAGTCTTCAGTGCGGCTGTGCCCACGCGTGGCGGACTTGGTCTTTATGATCACACGGGCGCTCGGGCTCCGGTGGCGAGGAAGCCGGGGTGTCTCTGGAGACTGACATCCTCCAGGGTTAACAAACACATGAGCAAGCAAGTTTAAAAAGAAAAAACACTCCTGATAAGTGAAACCAAGGAAGGGAAAACGCCGGGGGTGGGGGGGGGTGCAGCAGGAGGTCTGCAGAGCAGCTGACACGGAGAGACCCTCTCCGAGGTGCATTCCGCGGTGACGGGAAGGATATTGCAGGCGCCTTCTCCAAGGTTACCCAGCTGGCAGGCTCGCTTCCGAAGCTGCCGAGATGTTTCTCACATGAGAAAATAAACAGAAAACGTCACCGAGGCCTGAGCGAATGCAGGGTCACGAGCCGCTGTCTGGAGGTGCGCCCCGGCAGGGTGGAAGGGTGCCCCCCCCCCGTCCCCTCCCTCCCCCACCAGCCAGCCGAGAAGAAAACGGGCCTTGAGCCCACCGTGAGGAGGGCAGGCAGCTGCGCCGGGGGCACAGGGCTGGAGCCTGCTGACTCGGCCCGACAGGGTGTTCTCTGTGTATTTCACGAGCAAGTACCCCCGTCCCGCGGCACAGACACTGGTCCCAACATTTCCTATCTACAGATGGGCTCCAGTGAATCCGTTAAAGCCCGGGCACGTGCGTCTGTCCGCGGGTGCTTCAGCAGGTCAGTTGCGCGATGCTGTGACCAAGGTGCCGCCGACCCAGGTGAGGACACCTGAGGCTTCCCCGCATCTGTATTTACACAGCCCCTACTGTACAGCAAGCCCTTCCTTCAGGTGAGGCACCCCAGACTCAGAGCCTGAACACATCTGTTCCCCTCCCCCCCCCCGCCACCTCTATGACCTCCCCCTTCCGTGTCAGTCAAGGAAGGCGACAGGGACACTGCCAGGCGGGGCCCGCTGAGGACGTGGAGGCTACCTGCCAGGCCAAGGTGTGCTCCTGTGACAGCCACCGGCCGTCCCGGGGGTGCCCAGGCTGGGACGCCTCGGGCTGCGCGCCCTACTCATGAACCTTCCCGGGGCCTGAGAGTGCCCTGGGGCTGCATTCTCTTGAGGGTCTGATGCTCCTGATCTTTAAAAATCCCTTTTGCACAAGGAAAATCCCCCCAGGGAGGGCTCCCGCCCTGCCCGAGGATTTCTTGGCACCCAGCTCCCAGCAGAATGATGAGGGAGCCCAGCGTGCCCCGAGGCCAGGACAGGTGAGAAAATGGAGAAGAACGGAGGACACGCAGGTGCTCCGCTCTGTCTCTGTATATGGACTTTTGTGACTGGCCTCAAGCCACCTCTGACGATTTCAAGCTCCATCTAGCAAGAGTCCCCAACAGGGGACTGACCTGAGGACCCTGAACAGATCGACACTGGCTTCCGCTCCCACAGGCCCAGTTAACCCACCGGGCAGCACCTGGGCCTCCGCAGCTCGGTCAAGGGCCCGCAAGTCACTGTGATTGTGAAGCGCCAGGAGGAAGCAGCTGAGGCTCTCACTGGGGCACGGAGCCCCCAGGCGCCTGGGCAGGGCTGCAGGACCTTGGCGGCACAACAGAAACATCTAGGTCACTTTAAAAATGCCAGAGCACCCCTACTTCTGAAGTGTCCCAGGTGGGGCTATGGGCGGCCCAGACTGAGACCTGCGGCCCAAGGACAGGAACTGCTTACGGAGACCTGAACACGATTCTCTATGAAGCAGCCACAAGCACCTTCTTCCTGGATGTGGCCCAGGTTGGGATGACCCCCAAGGGGCCACGCAAGCTGTCCCCAAGGCTGTAGGGGACACCTGAGGGGTGGGGGAGGGAGAGGGCAGTGGTAGGACTGAGGTGGAAGCAGCAAAAGTTAAAGGAGGCAGCAGGCGGGTCCTCTGCACCCCAGCCCCGAGTCAGCGACTGGCTGAAAACGTCCTGTGAACACTCCCTGGAGGTGGCTGAACCCCAGATTTGGCTCCAAGTAGCGATGAAAACTCCTGCCCAGTAAGAACCCTGGCACTGCAAGGGCAGGCGGGGCCTCCCCCCCACCGCCCACTGTGAGAGTCGGGGCTTGCAGATTTCCCAGGAGGATTTTGAGAGTCCCGCAGGGCTGTGCCTCCTGCAGCCCCTCCCTTCTCCCCGAAGCCCCCGCAGCTGAAAGCACCTCACAGATCAGCCTGCACGGAAACCAACACCCCAGTATATTTATATGGGAATCGCTCAAATAAACGCTGCCCCAAAGACAAACGGGCCCTTGGGGGAGGGGGAGCTTGGAGGTGAGCACCCCTGGTGAGGTCCAATCCAGCTTGGGCCTGGGCAGAGTCCGCAAAGCCCCCAGGACAGGAGCTCCGCGGGGCCCACCTGCCTCTCTGCGTGACTGTCGGCTGGGGTGCCCCTCCGTCTGCAGGAATGAGTGGCGGGCACCGAGGCACCTACTCTGGAGAGTCTCTTTCCAGGCCTCCCTTACCAAGGGGAAACCCGGGGAGGCCACTCGTGCTGGCCGCAGGTCTGTGGCTGAGCCCGATTTAGCTGCCCTTGAATTTCCATTCTGTCTCCTGGCAACCGGCTCAGACCAGCTCGGCCGGCGCCCCGCACCCTTTCTGTGCCCCTGCAGCTCTGTCGCAAACTCAGCCTTGGGGCTCTGCCCGAGGTGGTGAGCGCGCGGAATGGGTGAGTCCCGCGCGCAGAATGGGTGAGTCCCCCGCGCAGCTCCGGACGGCCCCAACCCGTGGAGCCCGGCTCGCCCTCTCAGCCCGCCCCCCGCAGCCCTGCTCCCCCGCCCGCGGATACCGCCGGGCTCCTGCACCTCAAGTTTCCCAAGTCCTCAGCAGCCGGCCGGGCCCTCCAAGTCCTGGCACATTGGTCAGGGCGCAGAGCCGCCAAGCGCGGCTTCCCAGGCTTGTCCCGCCTCGACCGCCACGGCGCTGTGAGTTGGGCCCTGGGCACGGCGCCGCGCTCGGACCCCGCTCAGACGCGCCCTCGCCCCACCCCGCCCTCGGCGAGCAGCCGGCCCGGGTCCTGGGCGCGCAGCGGCCGGCGGGGGTCGCGCGGGTGGCTGGAGCCAGCTCCACGCGCAGCCCGGGCCCGTGGCCGGAGAGGGGTGCTCTCCGCGCGACGCCCCCCAAGGCCTTACCCAGGTTCACGAAGCTCATGACCATGTCGGCGTCGCTGAGGAAGGCGCTGTCCTGCGCGCTGGGCAGGAGGCTCTCGCGGTCCAAGGGGTGCGCGGGGCCGGGGGGAGGCCGCCGGGGCGGGGACGCGCCGGCCCCTCCGCGGGCCTCGGGCGGCCGCCTGTCCGCGTCCCACGCCGGGTCTCCGTCGGCGGCGCCCGACAGGCTGCGGTACAAGTCCAGCATGAAGAGGGGCGCGGACTTCAGCGCCCCGGGCGGGGGCTCCGCGCCGGGCTGCGGGGGCGCGGGGGCCGGCGGGGGCGGCAGCCCGTGCAGCGGCCGGGCCGGCGCGGGAGCCCCAGCACCGAGAGGATCTCCTTCTGCATCTCCCGCTTTTCGTGCGTCCGGAGCCGCCGGTACGGGAAGCCGGCGGCGGGCGGCTCCGCGCGCCCCGGGCCCCCGCCGTGCCCCAGCAGCGCGCCCCGGCCGCGGCCGCAGCGCCGGGCAGGGGTGGCCGCAGCGGCGGGGGCCCGCAGCAGCTGCACAGCAGCCCCCACCACCAGCACAGCCAGCGCGCCCTCCGCGCCGGCATCCCCGCGGGCGGGCGGGCGGGCGCGCGCGCGAGCGCCCCGGCGGCAGCGGTCCCGGCGGCGGCCGCGCTCAGTCCTTGTCTCTCATGGCGCCCGCGGCCCGCGCAGCTCTCCGGGCCAGGTGCGGCGGCGCCGGGCGGGGCACGGCGCGGTCACTCCCGGCCTCGCCGCCCCGCGCCCTCCCGGCGGCGGCGGACGCCCGGCATGGCCCGCGCGCGCCTCCCTGCGCACGGCCCGGCGCCGGGCTCAACTTCCCGCGGGCTCCCGAAGTCGGGCCGCACTCCCCGCAGTCTCGCGCCCGCTGCTCCGGGCCGGGCTCGGGCCGCCTCGGGCGGGGCTCGGCAGCGACGGGGCCGGACGCCGGGCCGGGGCCGCCGCCGGACTCGCAGGCTCGCGCTCCGCGGCGGGCAACGTGCGCCCTGGTGCGCGCCTCGCCCAGGTGCCGCCGCAGCCGCGCGCCCGCCGGTACTTGAAGGGGCCGCCCCACCCGCCCGCCCGCCCGCCCTCCCTCCCAGGGGGCGGCGCCGCGGCCCGGGAACCCGCCGCGCCCCGGCCGAGCCGCACAGGCCGCCAGGGCCCCCCCCCGCCCCGCCCCGTGACGGGAGCGGCGCTTAAACCCACACCACCGAGTGTGGGGGAAGCCGGGACGCGCGGGGGCTCCCCCTCGGGCCCGGGGCAGTGACACCGGCGCCCGCGCCCTCCCAGGCGGCGCTGGAAGTGGGACTCACCCGCCCAGCTGCTCACAGCCCGGCCGCGGCGCGCCCTCCCGCGGGCAGGCCTCGACCCCAGGGTGGGGCCAGAAGGGACCTCCTTCCTCACGGGTGTTCACTGAGTGTGTTTTACACTGTTTCAGGGTTTCCGTCCTCAAGGTGTGGTGCTGATGTCACACCGCAGGCAAAGGAATGCCGCAGCGGTGACCTGAACGGAGGTGACCACCACCTGCACAGAGGGGCGGACAGTTCTGTCAGGGCGGGAGGCACGCCCCACCCGACAGGACACCAGAGCTTGCAACGCCCAGCGAGCGCACCAGGAGCAGCAGGTATGTGAAGGGTCCCGGGAGTCCGGCCAGACCCCGGTGAGCCTTCCTGGCTGTCTGCAAAGGTCAGCCCTGCTCTGACCAGCCGAGGAGACACATCAGCACTGGGGACAGACGAGGCCCACAGGCGGCCTCCGCCCTCCTCGGGGAACGCACGTCTGCAGGCGGCCCAGGCCTTCTCTTCGCCTGCACAGAGAGTCCATCTTCTGGACGTGCTTGGGAGGGCAGGCCCCGTGGAACACAAGAGCTCCCTCACGTCTTGCGTGGGGCTGTGGGCAAAGTGAGCCGATGCCAAGCTCTGTGGGGGGGGGGGCATCTCAGCAGGGACACATGTCTGCCCACCCAGGGCTGCCTGGCCTCTCACCTGCGCCCACCTCTGCGTAGGCCTCTTGTGGACAGAGCAGAGCCGGGAAGGACCATCGGGAAGCCGTCAGGGCCCCCTGGAAGCCCGGAAACCCGCAGCAGCGCTGAGCCAGCAAGGGCACTGCAGACGGCCGCGGCCCATCTGCGCAGGGAGCAGCGCACACATGCACATGCCCGTGCCTGGTGGCCTCCTCTCGCAGGCCTGGAGGAGACAGACCTGTGTGACCAGGCTCCTCGGCGACACCCCATGACGGGCGCCGTGATAAAATCCGGGCAGCTGCCGATCCAGGTCAGCCACAGCCGTCCTCCCCTCCACAACGGCCCACATGTCCTGAACCTGAAAATCGGGGTCACCGAGGGCATCTCCAGACAACAGACACAAGCTCACACTCTCCCCTTCCAGCTAGAGGGAGATGTGGGACTGGACACTGGTCCTGAGGATAGGCATGCCACGGGGGCCACGAGAAGGGGTACCCCCCAGTCCCCAGCTCCCCCTACATAGGCCGGATGGGCCAGACGCACACGGACACGCCCACATGTGCTGGGGCGAAGGAGACAGAGATGCACCCCAAAAGGTCAGCAACTCCAGAGGTGGGAGCCCCTGTCCCCCTGCTCACTGCCACCTCCCCGCCTGCCCCCTGCACACCCAGCACTCTCCAGCAGCCTCCAGACGGGGATGAGGGAGGGAGTCGCACTGGGGAGGCCAGGATGTGCACCCAGGAGACACTCGGGGTGCCGTGCCCTGTGCAGACATGCAGAAGGTACCCATCTGGCCTGCACCAGCTGCACCCAGTCTCTGCCTGTGCCTCCAGAACGTCTGGGTGGATCTGGTCAGGAAGCGGATATGGGAGCCAGTCCCTGCCGACATCTGGCTGCCGGGCCAGCAGCTCACCAGATGGCCTTGACTTTCTGCACAGAGGTTCTCAGCCCTCCTGCTGCCAGTGAGAGAGTGAGGTGCCCTCTCCCCGCAGCGCATGCCCCGGGCCTGGGTGGTGCCGGCACAGGTGGGAGTCCTGCTGGCAGCGGTGGGGCAACCCATACAAGCGCTTTCCAACAGCAGCTCCCCTTCACCCGACCAGGTTGTCACACGTTCTCGACACTCGTGGCCACGGGATCCGCACTTTCACACGATGCTGTTTCTGACTCTGGTTGGTGGAGGTGCCACGCTGTGCTCTCGGCTGTGCCCCAACACATTGCCAGCCTCGGACATGCACACGCCCGGTGCCACCGGTGCCCGTTCCCGCTGCTGCTGCAGGAGCACCTGACACCCAGGGTCAGCAGCAACGCCACTCTCGCATCGGAACCCTGGGGTCTGCTCACCTCGAGTCCTCAGAAGCTCCCCCCAGAATACTAACTTTATCCTTAACATCTACGTAAGGTGAGGGTTCTCAGCATGGCTCTAAAGAGGAAGGCTCGCTCCTAACACCACCAAGTGAGCGGCGCGACAAGGAAGCCAGTTCAGTAAATGTCTGCAGAGTGTGAGGAATGAAATGGCCTCCAAAGGGCCGGGGAGGCAGCCGGGGCCTGAGGCTGGCCCCACGCTCCCATCGGCCTGGCCGCAGCCGTTTTCCTGCTCACGGAGGACACCTGGTGGCAAAGTGAAAAAAAAAACGAGTCCATGCTCTGTTCCCAAGACTCTCCCACCCTGCGGTCTGAATGTGGGCCCTGGGGCTGGAGGGCGCATCCGGCCCCTGCCCAGCCCAGGGTCAGCAGGATGGCCCTCCCCATCAGAATCTGGGGAGCAGCCAGACAGGGGTCTGGGTCTGTGTGGATGACTGACATGGGGACCGAGGCTGGTCTGGCCCCTGGGAGTCGCTCTGCCCCGGGGGCCTCTGCCCCAGGAGTCCCCCCACGGCTGCCCTAGATGGCCGGGCCTCTGTGCCCTGCCTGCTCCACACCCCAGCACGGCCCCTTGTCCCCAGGTGTCTCCAGCATCAGCCAGGAGGACACTGACACCCGGGACCCGGCCTGCACCAGTACCCTCACTGGCGCTCCAGGCAATGGCAGGTTGGGGCCAGCTCTGAAGGAGGAAGCCTGTGAAGTGTATGGGGAAGGCAGACATGGCCGCTCATCCAGCAAGCTGCGAGCCAGGCCTGGGCCAGGGACCCAAGACGTCTGCACTGCAGCTGCAGGCAGGGAGGGTGGACAACAAGCAAAGTAACTATGGAAACAGCATGGGGCAGCATGTGGTCCCCAGGACTCCTGGCCACGTAGCCCTGCACAGCAGAGGGGACTCAGCCGGTGGACAAAGGTTGCTGAGTGGGAACCTCCAAAGGGGTCATTATCCCAAATCACAGGCCCATGGAAGCGGGGGCCATGGCAGCCTGAGGGGCCCCACCGCCTCTGCCTGGCCTGGAGATGCAGGGCCACAGCCAGGCCGGTCGGTGGGAAGCTTCTGGAAGCTCTGCACGATCCTGAGCAGAAAGCAGCAGCGAGCTCAGCCTTAGTGCTGCAGTCGGCAGCCTGAACGTGGGTGGGTTCTGACCCCAGCCCTGCAGCCCACGCCTGGCTTCCAGCCTGGGGGGCATGAGGACCTGAGCAGAGTGCACCCCGTCCAACCCGCAGAGCTGAGAGATCAGGCAGAGCCGCTGTTTGTGGCCGCTGCACTGGTGATGTTTAGTTCCGCAACCACAGGAAGCAAAGCCCTACAGAGCGTGGTAAGTGCTGCAGGGCAGTCATGGGAGGAAGGGGGCGCGCAGACAAAAGGGAAGGCTCGGGGAAGCCAGCAGCAAGGTGCAGACTGACCAGGACACAGAACCACCAGGACACAGAGACAGAGCTCTGCAGGCAGAGGATGGAGGTGCAAAGGCCCTGGGGCCGGGGCCTGCCTGGTGCGGTTGGAGAGGAGCAGGGCGGAGAGGGAGGAGTGCCTGGGGGTGGCAGGGAGGATGGCGGAGGGGCCGGTGCCCTCGTGGACCTCGGCCGCAGGACAATCTCCCAAACGCAAAGTGGAGGAAAGATGCAGGCAACAGCCGACCCAGAAGCCTGGCTCTGCTGCCTTTGGGGGAAGAGGGAGCGTCACAAGCAATGAGGGCAAGTTGGAGGGGCTCCCGAGATGGGAACCCGGATGAAGTAGCACGGAGAGGTCAGCTAAAGGATTCCAAAGCTACAGGAAGGCCATGTGCGCTGTTACACTGCAGTCAGAGATCTGGTGAAAGAATGGATGGCAGAACTGAGATTATGGGGGGGGGGCACACATCTGAAGCTGGACCCCTAACCATAGAAGGCACGGAGAGAGCAGAGGGAGCTGTCAGTGTGGGGAGAGGGTGGGGGCTCCTGGGGGCCTCAGAGGGAAGCAGAGGTGAGAGGAGAGGGTGTGGACTCTGGACGCACTCTGAAGGCCGCCTGATGCCCAGAGGACCATGGGTGGCACTGGCCAGGTCACACCAACAAGCTCCACCTGGAACGGGCTGCACATGCAGGTCCCCACGGCCTAGGCCAGACGAGGACGGCAGCACCTCTGCCCAGTGACCATGGTGAAGTGGACCTGATGGGGTGGCCCAGCTCGCCGCGCTGCAGAGCCACGCAAGAGATAGAACCTTCTCCTCAGGAGCCACCCGGGGCCCAGCTCCAGGTGGCCCCACAACATCGCCCTCCAAGGACACCCGAGACCCACACTCTGCCACCACACTTCCACACATACAGAGCCTGACGAAACGCTGACGCTGAGGTAAAGGACACTGGGGGTCACATGTGAGGAGGGAGAAGAGGCATCACCCCAGTGGCAGGCAGTCGAGCACAAGGCGCTCCCTGGACACAGCTACAGGGGCATCACTGCGGACTGACAAAAACCAAAACCAGCTCAGTGACGTGATGGGGCAGAAGAGGACAGGCCAGTGATGAGAGATGGGACTGCAGTGTGGACAGACCACGCAAAGGCCACTTGTTCAAAACACTTCTGGTCACTAGCAGCAGGAGTGAGATGGGAGCTTGAGGGGACAGACGCCCAGCGCCGTTCTATGTGCAACGAGGATGGGGGGGCGAATGAGGACGGCCACTCCGTCGGGGGTGACGGGAGGGAGGAGGAACTGACTGGAGGTAAAAGAGGCGTGAGATTCAGGTGCAATATGCTCTCCGACAGCTCACTACCCGTTTCCTAAAGATGAGGCAGCCAGGACACCAGGAGAGCGAGTCGCCGAGGGCAGGGGGAGCAGAAGGACCACCTTCCTATTGAACCTTAAGATAAGAACAGAGCCCAAGGGCGGAGCTCGATGGAGACTCCCAAGAGACCTTGTGTCTGAGACTCTCAAGGGAGCTTCCCCCAAAGTCCTGACCCCAAAACCGTGAGCTAATAAATTACTGTCGAGCTGTGAAATTTGGGGGTGATTTGTTACACAAAGAAAATCAGTAAGAGAGAAAGCTAAGGTCGAGAACCCTATGGCTGTTTTACCTCTTTCCACTGCACTGTCGCTCCCGAGGCTGCAGGACTCATCTGTTTCTGTTTCAGGAGTCACTGATCTGCTGCTGCTGCTGCTGCAGTTTGGTTGTGGGTGCAGAGGAGAGGAGCCCAGCAGCGTCAGTCTGGTGCCATCTTGCCAGTCTCCCAGAGCAGGAGTCCCGAACAAGAAGAAGTTAATTACAGAACAGTAGTCAGGATTGTCATTTGCCAAGAAGTCTCAACTCCGTGAGGCCAAAATGTAAAATGCCTTGTTTTTCTTTCATCAAACGCCTTCCATAGTGTTCTCATGTCCCACACTCTGTGCCTCCCCGCATTTGGGGAAGGTCTCATCATGGGTCACCCACTTTCTGTTTAAAAGTCCATATGGTTTATCACAGCCGTGTCATTAGGAAAAGGTCTAAGACCTTGAAGGTTCGCTCCAGATCCAAGAGTTGGCCCCCAGCTTGGGTAACTGGTGCTCTAAAAGTCATCCTATGTTCACAAAGCGTGTCCCACACAACACAGTAGCCCCTGGTCACGGTCTTTAGAATTCTGCCAACACTAGAATTCACTTAAAATAGAACCACAGAGAAAATCTCTAACAGCACCGTGAGGCTGCGTTTCTTCCTCCTCGATAATCTGCCTTTCAAAAGTGCGGCCTCCAAAATATAAATATAAACACGCTATGCCCCCCAAATGTAAGTAAACGAACAAGTAAAAAAGGCGTGCAAATGAGTGAATGTGTAAATAAAACCGGTGTGTGCAGTAAGAACCCGGGGACACGGCAACTGCTCTCTGCAGAGGCCTGGCTCGACCCAGTCCCCCGCAGGCTGCGACGCTGTTGCTTTGTTATTGCCGTGACGTGCGTCTCGCGTCAGCAGTCAGCAGTGATTCATACTGGGCAATGAGCTTAGAGATCCAGCGTCTTGGTAGTGGGTTCTTCTCCCTTTCCGATCTCTACCGTCTACGCGGATGAGAACATCTCTGGAGTGATTTCTCAGAGGAATGACCTCCTCCGTGGCGCAGTACGTCACGATGGCCGCCCGCATGCAGCTACGGCTCGCGCCCTCCCAGGGAGACGGCAACTGCAGAGTCCCGCGTGTTCCGCAGCTAAGACAGCCTGAGTCAGGCTGCGTGATGCAAGTCTCAAGCGATGGGTTTCCTGAGTTTCCTTCCAACTGTATTTTCTTGGCAACTAAAAGGGTTAGTGTGTGCGCGCGTGCATGTGCACATGCTCAGGTGTACAATTATAGACGCTCCTCCCCCGCAGCCCCCAGGCCAGCATCTTGCACTGGACAGAAAGATGTGGTCAGGTTCCAGGGCGCCTCAGTCCTTTTTTTTTTTTAAAGATTTATTTATTTATACAAGAAGTGGGGTACAAAAAAAAAGAAGTGGGGTACGGACCAGATGTGCAGGAGGGTGAGGGGATTCACCAGAGACAGAGTGAGGAGCAAAATAGGCAGACGGACTGAAATACACTGCTGAGGGGAGCAGCAGGGAGACAGGAGAGGTCTGCCGTGCCTCATGGGTTGCTCCGCAGCCGGCGGGGGTTGAACCGGCACTGCAGAGGCTGTGGACAGCTTCACAGCGCTGCGCTAAACGGCCTGCGCCACCGGGGAGGCCCACCAAGGCGTCTCTTTCCCCTCCCTGTCCTAAGTCTCTCTCCTCTAGGGGGACTGGGGGAAATGAACAAGACAACGATCCCACTCCTAGGAATCTACCCAAAGGACACAAAAACATTAATTCAAAAGGACACCTGCGGGCCTCCCTGGTGGCGCAGGCGGTTGAGCGCCACACTGTGGAGCTGTCCGCAGCTTCTGCAGTGCAGGTTCGACCCCCAGCCAGCTGGCGAGAATCCCACATGGCGCGGCAGACCTCTCCTGTCTTGCCGGCTGCTCCCCTCAGCAGTGTACTTCGGTCCTTCTGCCTGTTCTGTTCCCCGCTCTGGCTCTAGTGAATCCTCTCACCCTCCCGTGCCTCTGGTCTGTACCCCAGTTCTTACATAAATAAATAAATCTTAAAAAAAAAAAAAACACACACACACAAGGACATCTGCACCCCTGTGTTGACTGCAGCACTGTTTATAGCAGCCAAGATACAGAAACAACCCAAATGCCCCAGAACAGATGCCTGGATCAGGAAGAGGTGGTCCACACACACAGTGGACTATTATAGTAGTAATTCAGCCATCCGAAAACAAACTCATGCCATTCACAGCAACATGGTTGGAGCTGGAAGAGACAGTGCTCAGTGAAGTAAGTCAGAAGGAAAAAGAAAAGTATTGGATGGTTTGACTTATAGGGGAAATATCAGGAAATCGAACAGAAGATCAGGAAAAAGACAAAACTTGCAGGCAGGTCTGAGGCATCCATCAAGGGAGGGTAGGAAGAGGGACAAAAGCAGGGGAAGAACAAAAAGGACTGTGGTGACAGTTACAGGTGCCGTAGTGGTGGGAGACTTACGGGGACCACACCTGAGAGGAGAAATGAAGTCTCACAAAAATGAACAACGGTGTAAGAAAAAAAAAAGTGAAAATACATGAACAGTAACAGGAGCTATTAAAAAAAAGCAAGCAGAGGTGCCCCCAGGAATTGATGTCCTGCTGGTGGTGGTGAGGTCCCCTGGGGTTCCTCCCAGGAAGCTGGTACCTGCAGCCTGGGGGGGCTGGAATTCAGGCTCGCCCTGCCTCTTCCAGCCCCAAGAATCCCTCAGAAAGGGGCGCACACATACGCGCATTTAACCCACAAGTCACGTAGGTGGTGTATGCGGCCAACGAATCAGTAATGCCAACAGACCAGCTCTGGGCTGGAGGACCAAAGGTGGATGAGGGTGCATGGAAGAGCTCATACCACTTTTAAGAAGTATAAATTCAAAAAAATGCTACAGGAGAGGTCAGCTCAGGTGGCATCTGAAGTACTCCCGTGGGACAGAACCCCAGACTGTCCTGAGACTAGGGAGTGTGCCCCAGGGCAGACACCGCCGTCTGTGGTGCTAAAGGGCCACACAGTGGGGACATCTTTGCAGGGAGCGGAGGGGACAGGGATGGCATCCAGGAAGGGCCGGGCCGAGAGGTGCTGGGGGCTCTTGATCCAGAGAGGGACTGGGCTTTCAAGGGATGTGCCCTCTGCACGCCCAGCTGACCTTGGGGTCAAGTGGTGCCTGCTTGGAAACCAATTGGTCACCCACGTGCTGGTCCGATTTGCCGGTCTGCGGACACCATAACAGTCCAGTCACATGCAGGAGCCAGAAATTAGATTTGCCACTTCTCAACTGCAATCCTTTGCCCAAATTCCCAGTTTTACTCCCAACTGAAGAAATGCAACAGCAAGAATGCCACGCCAGCGAGGCTCCCCCTCAAAGCACGATGCCCAGCAGGGGGTGAGCCCAAGCACCCGATAGCTGCCCCAGCCAGGTGAGCGCGGGCTCTGCAGGGAAATGCGGGCATGGAGATCCGTGCCAGGATGAACTCCAGACCCCATGGACGCTGGGCTTCCCTTCATCCCCCCACCAGGCCTGGCTTGCCCAAGAGCAGGACAAATGTCACCTTGACACACCAATCTGAGCCACCGTCCCTTCCCTCCCCCATTCCACCTGGACGCCCTCCTCATCCTCATCACACCTGGACGCCCTCCTCATCCCCACCACACCTGGATGCCCTCCCCCTACCACACTTGGATGCCCTCCCCACCCCATCATACCTGGATGCCCTTCCCCCCACCACACCTGGATGCTTTCCCCCCACCACACCTGGACGCTCTCCCCATCACACATGGACGCCCTCCCCACCCCCACTGTAACAGGGGGGTCCCCAGGAAAGGGGGAGGTTCCAGGTTTCCTGCCCCACCCAAAAGGAGGGTGGAGCAGAGCAGGGAGAAGAAGCTACAGAGGACACTGAGGAAGGAAGGAAGCAGGATGCAGCCAGAAGGAGACCTGGAGGAGGCACGTGGAGCCGAGAGACACGTGGAGAAACCACGCCTGCCTTTTGGTCGTGGACGGGGTGACACAGATGTAGGTGAGACCCATGGGGAGGGGACAATGGCAGTTTTTGTCTTGATTTTGATTTTGCTCGTTTCCTCCCAGACTTATTTGGTTGTTTCTGACCCTTTTCTGTGGATCCCCCCTGGAAGTTGCTTTAGACTGTGGCAGGCTTTGGGGACTTGCTCTGGGCCAATCCTGCTTGGGTGGACTTTTACCTACAAGGGGATGGTTCACTTTGGGTGCTGGATTCAGAAACTAGATTCTTTGCCTTTCCTGTGTTGTTTCCTAATTGTATTAAAGTTCCTTCCCGCTAAAGTCTCATATGTTTTGTCTTGATGCGGCAGATGGCAGAACATATTTAGAGCAGACAGGTTTGGGGGGTCTGGGGTGCCTCTTTCCCTGCCCTGTAACACCACCACACCATCACCCTGGACTCGGCCTGTTCCCCAGGGCCTCAGGGCCTGGGCACAGTACTCTCTAGGCATTACTTTCCCTGCCCACCCGACATTCCCTCTGGCTAAATCTTACTTTAAGGCCTTGCTGCCTCCCACTCCAGGGCCTTCTCGGACTGTGCATCCTGGCTGGCGACCTCGGGCACACTCCAGGCCGTGGGCAACGCCACTGGATGCTCACATGCCTGTGGTGCTCTCTTCTGCCAGCCCATCGGCTCCCAGGATCGCCCCATTAAGTACCTGTGGAATAAATGAATCAGTATTTTTAAATCACTGTGTCCAACTTAAAAACTAGACTATCCCGAGCATATCAATTACATTTGCAGTAATGTTTCTTAAGAAAGCCTTTTTCCCCTTTCTGGTCACCAGGCCCCTGTTCTGGTGAACTCCTGGGAGCCCCAGCCACCAGGCGCCTGCGTTTGGGGGAGAGGCAGGGCCGTGTCTTGTAGTGTCCTGAAGTCGTGAGCCTCTGACATCTTACAAGACGGCCACACCCACGCGCAGCCTCTCTCAGAGCTGCTCCTGCAAACTGGCAGAACCCCTGAACAGTGACTGTTCTGACTCAGTGCCTGAGAACCCTAGGAATCTCGATGGAAGCCGTCACCACAGTCTTAGGCCCCTCAGCCTTCCCCCCAAACCCCTCCCTGCAAAGGTCCGATAGAGGGGAGCATGCGGAAACCACACTGGGATTTCCACTTGCATGGATGCTTCCAGGGACTGACTACTTCTTTTAACAATTCACATTCTAGATGCATCCCTGGCCTCACACGTCCTTTCTAAGCCGTGCAGGGGTCAGTGTTTGAAGCTGATGTACTAATTTGGAAAGCTCGCCCCACCACACAAGGTATGTAGTCAACCGTGCTCAAAGCATTCACAGTACTGCCAGAGGCTGGGCAGGCTGGCATGGCGGTTTGTTTTGCTGAACCGTGGGGGGCAGGTCAGTCCCAGAAACACCACCCAACATCGGAAGAAGGCTTGGTAAGCACCATGGGCTTGGCCTGGCAAAGGCCCGCAGGGTAGGGGCACGCACCATGCACCAAGGGTCAAGGGCCCATTGATGCGGGCAGGTGTCCGAGTTGCGATTTTTACAGCATTTTGGACAAAGCCTCCCCCAGCGCCTGGGCTGCTGTCACGAATGAGAGCGCAGGGGGTGTCCCAGGCACCAGGCGTTCCTGACCCATCGGCCCAACTCCCAGTGCTGCGTTCTGCCCAGCTTCGTACTTATAAAAAGCAGACAGTGCTCTGGGGGCAAGAGACACTTCAGAAGGGCCTCCCTGGTGGCGCAAGGGGTTCAGACACAACCTATGAAGCTGTCCGCAGCCTCTGCAGCACAAGTT